CCCCAAAACCCCAAAACCCCAAAACCCCAAAACCCCAAAACCCCATAAAGCAATAAATATGATATATTTTGAGATCTTAAAGAATGATAAATTAATTAGACATTAAATTTCAATCAAGCAAAAGCATCCTTGATATTTCTAATCAATGTCATACCTGTGAACTCCATTAGTCTCTTATCCAAAGCTTTTTTAAGCTCATCTTTATCTATATATTTAAAAGAATCAACTGTGGATTAGTGTTAAAGATGCTTAAATCTATCCTGAAGGGCTTTACTGTTCAATAGCTGCTGCTATAGTTCTTACTTATAGTTGAGATCAAGAGCCTAGTCAAAAATATGACTCTCAATCAATTCTTCTTTTTTTTCTAACGGTGTCTGTTTGTTAAGCAATTAATTCTAGTCAGAAGTTGAAATGTTCTTTAAAAGAAACATAGATCCTTCATATCCACTTAGATTCTTTTGTTTATTAATGTCATTTTTAAGTATATAAGCTTTCTCTATTAAATTAGCCGCAGGATCAGAACTGAACTGATTATTATATGCTTCGAAAGCTAATTTCTTATCATTATTAATAACTCCGACATCGATATCTTATCTCTGCAGTAGTAGATTCACCATCTTTATTTTATCAGTGTCACTTTTCAATTTAGACAAAGCAAAGAATAATGGACTCTCCCCTTTATCCTAAGATCGCATGTTGATATCAATCTTATTTAGCATTTGATTGGTCTGTTTATCTTAGTCCTCAAGTAATATATACTTTACGAAGCCTAGATTATTTCTTTGCACGGCATAATGTAGGCAGTTCTAATTATTTTAATCAGCAAAGTCAATGTTAAAATCCTTTGAACTACTCTTTGATCTGAGAAATTAAAGCACTTCAATTGAACCATTCTTGCAAACCTAATGCTACACATCGTAATAGAAAGTTTATTTAAGTTTGGCAAATAACTGAGAGTACTAGGATGCATTAGTAATCTTTTAAGTGGTCAAAAGCTTTTATAGAAAATCAACATCCCCTATCTGTAGTAGGTTCTTGACCTATCCGAGAAAAGTTTAGTCGTTCATTTTTATAAATTAATATCAAGCATTCACAATTCATGGAGATTAAAATTTTTTCATAATTCAATTAATATTTAACAATAAATATCCTCTAATAATATAAATGCAAAACAAAACGTCTTCCTCAGTAGAGGAAAGTTCTTAGCAGAACTAGTCCTCTGAGTTTGACTTGCAGCAATCCTACAATTCGCCAAAACTAAACTCTAAGGATCTAAATCCTAACTATGGAGAGATTAAAGTGGAGGCAAGAAATTTAAGAAATAACTTATCTATGAAGCAAAGCTCACAAGACATTGAGCAGCAATAAGAATAATTGCAATCGAGAATGTTTAATATTCAAGGGGGTGAACTTGATAACTACAATTTGGAATAATAGCAATAGCATTTGGTAAATCTCTAGAACCCATAGATAATAGATAATAATAAGATTTAAGTGGTAAAAGCTACCTCATTTGATTTTGAGGTAAGTATAAATTTAAGTCAGTTGGTTTTGATAACATTTTTAGAAAATCAAAAAAGGGAAAAGAAAAAGACATCATAATAAAACATTAGGATCACAAGATGTTACTGCTCTAAATGTAGTTACTTCTTAAAAATAAGAGAGATAAAGCAGTAGAGTCTAGTCTTCTCAATAAAAAACAAGACCAAATAATATTCAATAACTTATGAACTAAAACTGCACTAAATTTGAAGAATGTAAACCCTTGTAATTTATCGCATAATTTTTAGATGTCAAGTTGAATTCATAGTAAACTTCAGTTGAGGATGAAATTCTCTCTAGATCAGTATTGAATAGTGCTCTCACTAGCTCAAGGCTTTAGAAACAAGAATTTGATTCAAGATTGAAGCCTCAACATAACATGGCAATGGATTCTCTTTTAGATTTAGCTAATCATAACCAAAATAATCCATCATAGACAGGCTAACTCTACCCTGTCTTACAAGTCAGGGAGGAGTAAGATGAAAGTGACAATAGTCCATTAAAAGCTATGCAGATTGCTAGAAGGCAATCCTTACTCAAGCAGAAAGGGATGAATCTGACTTCAAGAAGAGAGTCATTTTTTGGATCTCAACATACTTTAACCCCAGATCCCTTGCAAAAATTATTACAAACAAAGAAATATCTGAAAAATGACCTTACCAACAGTCAGGGCTTAAGTGGCAACCTTTAAATATAGTAGTAGCCCAGTTTCTCAGGTTAATTTACTGAGAGATTAAACTCAAGACAAGAAAGTAATGGAGGCACTACGGTGCTAAGTTTGGTAAACAATAAAAATCATAGTACTAATGGCACATTTAAAAATGAGTACTTGCAAAAGACTTTGAATTAAACTCTAGAAGTTGAATCCATGAATAATGATCATTCTAGAAATAGAAGCAATATTGATGCTCTCAACAAGTCAAGTGAGATAAATAAAAGCACTTAGTATTTAAGATATAGAGAGAGATTGTTTTTGAAGAATTTGACTAATTAGTCATAACTTAAGAAAAAGTCTTTCACAAGATCAAATACTTTTAATGGAAACGATACCTCCCCAGCTAAATCTTAATCATTTGTCCAACTTAATTAGCATGATAATAGTTTGGCATTGGTATTACCTTAATTAGGAAAAACTCCAACTTCTCTAGTAAATGATACTGTTTAATAAGCATTAGTTCTTGACCATATAAACGATTATAACCGAGATTGCAATAAATATAATTCAGTTTTAATTCATCTTGGAGTTCTACTTAAGAAGGCTATTTCTTAGTCAGAATAGGGTCACCAACTTCCTTGCTTTTTTTTGACAACAGTATGCACCTAAATTTTTGATAAGATTTCCTTGTTCTTCCCTAATTTTAACAAAATTCTTGTGCCGTTAAAAAATACACTGTTCTAGAGTATATATTACTAGTACGATGCCAAAAAGCACTTTAAAGAAGATGAAATTGAATTAGATTAGAACAAAGATGTCAGGGATCTGACGAAGAAAGATGCTAAGGTCAAGGTAAAATACCTCAGGTATGAAACGTTTCATGATAAACTTGTCCAAGCTCATAAAGAAGTAAGTAAATAGTCTTAAATAATGAGTTAAATTTAGAATAAACAACTGAAAAGAGAAATGCTAAGAATGAAGAAAGATTATAGAGATGATTAATGCTAAAGACTTATAATCAAGAATCTAGTAGATAAATTAAGAGCTTAAAAAGAAAAAGAGAACTAGAGAAAGATTTTCAATGCTTTAAGATTTCACTCGAATAACAAATATCAGGGCTTATTCGCCAATGTAATGGCTAACTCTTTATTTGGTTCAGATATAAAAGCAAGGACACTAGCAAGAAAATACTTCGTTGAGTTGAAACTTTACACTTTAGAATCAAAATTGCGTAAAGCAAGAAAAGAAATTGAATACTACCAAAATAAAACTGATGATCTCGATGATAATAATTCATCATAAAGAGTATAAATAAAAGATCTAGTCGGTGAGAACACAAGACTAAAATCATAGCTTAATCAAAAGCAATAATAACTTGCTGTTCACGAGAACGATAATATATAGTATAAGGCTGATACATCTAAAAATAAGCCTTAGCAAATCAAAGAGTGTCTGAAGATCTATTTCAAGTATATATTTACTAACCCATTAATAGCCAGACTGAGAATTAGAAAGCCAATGGCATTGTTCGCTCTAAGTCATACTAAAGTAGATGAGAGCAGCATTTAAAATAACTAGCAAAGAAGAATTAATATGAGCCTCCTTTTAAAGAAAAAAGAGACGATATATGAGGGAGGGCCAGGAGTGTAGCTGTTAATGAATATGAGCTTGAAGGAGATAATGGTAAGATGGTCTAACTTTATGATTGAACGGGCTGTGCTTAAGTTAAATCCCATCATTGAGATCCTTTAAAGAGAAGTCTAAAAAAGGAAACAGAGAAGAATTAATAGCAGACTCAATACAGCTGGACCTATGAGTGGCTAATAAAAATAGTAAGAGATTATATAGGAATAAGATGCAAGCTCTTCATCTTCAAATAGTGATATTGAAGATAGCAAAAGGGAATAATCCAAGAATTTAAATGAAGAAGCTCCAGATGATGAGATAAAGTTGCCAATCGAAGAAAAAAATGATGTTAAGCAAGCAATCTTTTTAAATTATGAACCCTTTAAGAACTATAAGAATGACCTGAAATTGCTAATTACTTTTAAATAAATGGTATCAAAATTGGTATCTGATTTTTGTAAACTTTTCCTTTCTAATAATCTGATAATTTAGCTTTGAATATGATAAATGATGGTGTTATGCAAGCTATCTTGTTTTCATTAGATCAAGCTGAAAGATCATTAGAAATTCTGAATATGAATACGACTTAGGCATTAAACACTCCTGGGTCAGTCTCAAGAGCATCAACTGCTGGATTTCCTGGTAGATTAGTCAAGGGCTATTCTTATTAAGAAGAGCCTTTTGAAGAGGTTATTGTTCCAGATTTTAAATACATACTCCAATATGTAAATAATACTAACATTGAAGATAGGACTAAACTTCTTATGGAGTAAATTGAAATTATTTAGAGTTAAAAGTTTGATTGGTACTTCTCGTTATCTGAAATGCTTACTGGCAAGGAGTAGAATTATACCACAACTCTACTATACTTATTCTATAGTTATAGTAATTTGGACTAAGAGGCTCATTATTCCATTTAGAGCAAGTATAATAAATCTTAGGTAGCTGAATAATTAGTCATTGAAGAGAGTAAATTGAATATTTAATGCTATAAAAAGATACTATATGTCGCTAGATAAAAAATTCTACCTCTATTAGTGAGAAAAGTTAATTCTCATCTGCATGATGTGAGCCTATTATATTCCATTGATGAATTCAATAAAGAGGAGTCAACTGCTCTATAGTAATTGCATGAACTGCCATACATGAATCATAAATAATTAATGATAAGATGGGTCAATCATCTATTAAGATCTTACCACGAATTAAAACTACAAAATGAACTTGAGCAGAAATTCAGGAAGAGATTTTAGCAGCCAAAGCCAGAGGATAAAGACAAATCTTAAGAGAGATCTCCTTCTCGCAATACTATAGCCAGTAGGTAGTCAGCTGCAATATCAAATTCTCTCAAATAAAAGTTACAAAGAAAACAAGATGGAAATAATAGAAATGCCTAAAACAATAACAGCAATAGTAATAACACTGGAAATAGGGGAGATTAGACATCTAAGAGTCTTCCAAGAGTTGGCACCTAGACCAGGAATAAAAAGTAAATAGCAAAAGAAGAATCTGAGAAAAAATTAAAATTTGGAATCACTAAAGATTCAAAGACTCAAAATATTATAAGAGAATATAATCTGAACCCTGATTTGCAACATCTAGGTTTTGAAATCACAAAGATAGGTTAGCTTAGCTAAGAGAATTATCATAGATTGATTCTTATTTTAGCCTATCTTACGCCTGAAACCATCTGGGATATGAATGATATGGACTATAGGGAACTTAAGAGAACTTCACATTATATTGAAATAGTAGAGGCTTTTCTCATAAAGAGTACCCTCGATCAAAAGATCTTATTCATCATGAATGCAATCACAAGAATTACTAAGAAAAATGTAAGTATAAGTTAAAACTCATATTTCTTTAGAATTTGATTAGCATTGACGATCTTTATTAAAAATCTAAGATTGAGTACTTAGACCTGCTAATTGAACTCTTTTTATCCAGACCGAGTTTAAGCAACTCTAGGCATAACTCAATATTTATTCAGAGTCTATAAACAATTGAGGATTTTTACAATTCTTAGAAGAAATGTAAATATGAACTTAATATATAATTAATTATTGTAGACTTAAAGGATTTTAATAAGCAAAGCTATGAGGAGATAGAGATTCACTCAAAGAAATTAATTGATTAAAAGGATGAGATTACTGAATGCTTTGCTTTCGTTTAAGATTGTGATAGGATATACCAAACACTCAAGGAGAAATTATTATAAAATAAACTTAGTTTCCCTAATCCGAATACTATAATTGCAAGATAGATGAACATATTTGAAAGATCAGAATTATTACTCAGTGATATAGAAAAATCTATTACCAATTTGAATAAGCAATTCTTATTTTAGCTTTTGACTTTTAGATAGCAGCAGTAAGGACAACAATGGGCTTTGTAGCTAGAGGATGTGATTAAGAAATTCATCTACCCCTTAAGGAGATATCTAAATGTATATATGGATTAAGAGGGCTTTATTACATATTTTGACATGTGGAGAGCAATCAAGAGTCTAAACATTAGGTCATTCGTTTTGGATTCTAGGGAGGTGGAAAATCTAATGATTAAACTTATAAAGCTTAAAGACAGTAGGCTTGTCTCTAGAAGAACAGTGAATATGAGTAAAGATGAAGAACTGTCTTTGATTAGAGAAGATTTCTAAGATGAAGTTGACTTGTTTATGAAAAAGATCAAATCAGAGATTTAGTATACAGTCTTCAGCTCCAAAAAATAAGCGTAAGCTAGTCTATTGTTAATTATTGATTAAAATTTAGGAATACAACTAGATTTAGGACAAAGTCAAGCATTGTTAAAGAGATTGAAGAAAGTTTGGAGAACATATACGTTAAGACATAGCTTTACAGAGCTAAGTTCTAGCCGAGTGATTTGATACTGATCCTTATTGCAATCTTATTCAGACAGAACCCTTCAGAGTTTGTTTAAGAAATCATTAAGATTACACCTTCTCTTTATGAAGAAGGGGTTAAGAATGTAAATAAAATGCTATCTAAGGAGAAAATATAAATACATGTAGAGGCTTATTTAACAGAATACCAACCTCATCTGCTATTCGAGTAGTTCCTTATTCATAATGTTCTGATCAAAAGTGACTTTTCAAAAAAGCATCCTTTTAGAATCAACATGATGAAGGAGGACTTTAGACAGTTCCTCGATCATTATCTAAATTCTTTATTTGCAGTGTTTGACTTCTATCTGCATGAGTATGCCACTACCTGCCCTTAGCCTATAAAGTACAAGCACTTCTGTATATAGATAGAGGCAATCTATGGCTTACTTAGAGACTTTAATGCATTTAATCCTGAGTCAGGTTTGAGTAAAAATAATCTAAGAAAAATACTGATTAATGTTCAGAAGCAAACATCTAATGATAAACTTTACCAAGAGAGATAATAACTTAAAACAGCAGGTACTATTGATTAAGCTCTAAATTCCTAAGGCATGACTCCCAATAAGACTGTCTAATTCACAATGTCTAATGTAATCAAGTCACCCTCTCAATTTAATAAGCAAATACTGAATTCCTCTGTTACTTCTAACTAAGAGAACTAGATATAATTCTTGATAGAAAATTTTGAAAGCTTGGTATTCTTTGAATTCATGGAATGCTTATATCTTGTCTCATAGTACCACAGTCCCGATCCATTCATTAATCCAAATCAGAAATTCGCTGAATTCCTTGAGAGAGTGGTATTTACAAACATACAATTTAAAATTAAAAGCAAGAGGATAATGGAGAGTCCTCATAAAAATAATCTCATTAGATCACTCTAAAATCATAGAGTTATTAGAGGAGCCAGTCTTGAAACTTTTAACTCCTACTTCGACTTGCATTGAACTTACCTATCCTAATACTTTATAATGAGATATATAATGCCGTACTAAAATTAAATTTATTTCATTAACTGCTTTTCGTCAAATAATCGTTAAAGGGGTTTTGGGGTTTTGGGG